TAAAAATGGTTCCAGACTTCTAGTCCCTCCTATCTCTTGCATTAGCCAGCTGACCTCAAAGACTGTTTCCTCATCCATAGAGTCACTATCTCCCTCACAGGGTTGTTGACTGCACCAGTATAGGGTATTTCTGGTGTGGAAATTCCCTCTACCACTGCAGATCAACAATTTATAGTCAGAGATTTACCTGGGCACTAAAATTGTCATTGATAATGATGGTAATAATAATAGCTAGCACTTGTATAGTCCTTTAAGGTTTGTAAAGCATTTTAGATGTTTCATTTGATCCTCACAACAAAGTCGGTGCTATTTTAACCCCATTTACATACAGATGACATATTAAGTGATTATCCCAGAGTCAGGCACCTAGCACACATCAGAGACTGGTTTTTCAACGGCTGGCCCTCTATTACTCTCATGAAAACTTTCAAGTCCTAAATAAGCATGAGTTGTTATTTGCCCATGTGACTTTGGGCAGGTCACTATACCACTCGGTGCCTCAGTTTCTGGATAGATGCTCCCTAAGCTCCCCTCCACCTCTATGATCCCATGAAAAGTTATTTGCCTACAAGACAGCTAGTGAATTGCAGTTACAACTACAACCCCAGGCTCGCTATTCCTCATCCAGGGGTATTTCCTCTATACAATTCTATTCCATCATCTCTCCAACACATAGAATGAATGACTTAGGATCATAAATCTGGAATTGGAAAAGACCTCAGAGACCATTTAGTCCAACCCTTCATTTTTACAAATGAAGAAACTGAAGCCCACAGAGATTAAATGACTTGCCCAAAGTCACTTATGGTCAAAGTATCAGATTGGAATTTGAACTCAGATCCTCTATCTCTAGAGAAAGTCCCCCTTCTACAACATCATGCTTCAACCAAAGAAGGATGTCATGAATCATTGTCAGATCTTTTGAAAAGTTCCCCATCCTCCACTTGCAGAGAGCAAATTTTCCAAGCTCTGAGTTTCTTTGTTTTGTTTTGTTTTGTTTTAGCCAGGTAGTATTTGCTATTTTTTTGCCTCATAATGGACAAATGACTGAAAGAGGTCAAGGTCAATTCTCAGGTCACTGATGTGAATCCAGCCTGTTTTGATGGTGATCTGTCACTATTACAGAACATCTGGCCCCATCACATTGCAGGGTGGGGTAGAAGAGGGGTTCTCCAAGTCTGTTCCTATGAAACACTTTTACACTATTACGAAACAAAAAAATCCTGTAAGGTAGGGAACAATTAATGCCCGGTTCCCTATGGACTGCTGCCAAGGAAAGGAAATAAACAAGGAGATATACTTCCCATTGGATACAGATGTGTTGAGAATACAACTTAGGAAGTTTCTAAGGCAATGCTAGCTATTTACAGCATTACTGTGAGTGGGGGAAGAACAGGGAAAGGATGGGGGGGCAGGAAAAAAATGTTACCGGAATGGGTAGAGTGTGAGATTCAGGGAGTCTGTGAACAGCTTTTAAATATTGGACAGTCTGTCTTGAAAGAGTTGGGTGGCAGTATTGACCTGTTAGACAATTTTTCTTTTGGACCAAACCTGTGGTTTCAGTGGTATAGGGAACTCAAAGTGAGAAAATTCCCTGTTAACAATTGAGACTGGCATCTGCTCTCAAACTTTTCTTTGGAGAATTATCTCCAAAGAGTTACTTAGTGACCTTCTTAGAAGCACACAAGTATGGATCAGAGGAAGGATCAGAACCCAGGTGTTCCTGATGCAAAAGCTGACTCTCCCTCTATTTCACAGGGCTGCCTCTAAACCAGGGGTTCTTAACCTGGAATTCACAGACCTCTGATTTCAAGGAGTCCGTGAATTGGGATTTTAAAAAATTATATCATTATTTCCACTAATCTCCAAATAAAGTTTAATGTTTCCTTCAATTATTTAAAAACATTATTCTGAGAAGGGGTCCACACCACCCCCCAAAAAAGGGTTAAGAACTCATCTAAATGAAAAAAATTTAAAAATCCTATCAGGAGCCAAAGTCCACTCAAAATTGACAAATAGGAGATCTGAAAAATCCCAGGTGTTCTTAATGGACATGAATTTCTATCAGCTGGATATCACTTGGGTTGTGGTTATATATATACACCCAAGAGAAGTTTTTAAGAACAGGTAGAGTCAGGAGACCTGTAACTTTTGTCTTGGTTCCAGCCTCTGCATGGCATTATTAGCTTTATTACTGGACTTAGTAAGCACGTGCTTGAGAGGTAGCAGAAAATCCAAAAAGTATCCCCCTACTCTACTACCACCAATACAATCTAGCCTACCATGGTGTCTGAAATTCTACTTCTAGAGATTACTTTCTTTCAGTTAAGAGCATCGATTCTCTAGGAATTTCTTGTTAAAATACAAACACCCCTGGGATAATAATAGCATTATTGGCCATTAATGTCAGGACTTGAGTAGTTTGCCAGAAGTCCTTCGTAATCTTAAACTGAGAATAGTTGAGTCACAGTATGGGTAAGCTGTGATAGGTGACATTAAAGGCTAAATTCTAATAAGACAGGTTATTGCAGAGAAAGAGATGGAGGGATGAAGACCAGAAATTTCGGGGGGGGGTGAGACTGATAAACAAGAGAGGTTGTGGGTGGATGGCAAAGCCAAACTACCTTATTTGTATCAATTTCCTAAGGCATTGGGAAAAATGACAATCCAGTGTCAAAACCTTCCCCCCTTTTCCAAAAGTCACCAAAATCGAATTTTGGCTGGGGCATGTGTTGTCTGTCATTCAAGGACCTTTTTAATAAACACCAGGCCCTGTGCAAAGCAAGGGGCATATAAAGAAAAGCAAAAAAAAAAAACAAATAACAACAACAAACCCACAGTCCCTGCCCTCAAGGACCTTATATTCTGATGGGGGAAACAGCATGTAATTAACTAGGTAGAGAGTATATAGCGTAATGCAAAATATTGTGTAAAATTAATCTGAAAGGGGAAGGCATTCGCCTGAGAAGAAAATGATGCAGAAAATTATTCTGACTTCTCTGAGTACTCCAGAACCTGGCCACCTTGAACAGAACAGCAACTGATTGTTTTGGGGAAGCTGTGTTACCAGAGGGGAAGTGGGGGAAATGAACCAAATCCCAGTCCCAGCCTCATACTTGAGACAAACCAGACCAGAGAGGCCTTAAAGCTGGAGGCAGCTGGTAAGCAGGCGGGGACGCGTGTATTACTATGAGGGGAGGGAGGAAGGGAAGGAAACGGCCCCACCAGCAGGCAGGGGATTCCCTCCCCACCCCCCAGCCCGGCGCATTTTTGACATACGCAGGAGAGATCCCCAAAGGGGTAGGAAGGGAGGGAAGGATTGCAACCCTCCGCAGGATATCCCTTGTGTGAATTTTTTTTTTAAATGATGAAATGACTCTTGGAATGGAAAGAAGAAACTGCGTGCTTGGCAGATTCCGACCTGGAGGCACTCCCGGGCCGGGGGATGGGTCCCCTGAGGCACCGGGTGGGAGAGGGGGGGCGGAGAGGAAGGAGGAAGGCCCCGGGTTCTCCAAGGCGACCCACATTTTCAGGAATGCAGCAGGGTCAAAGGCCCGCGATTTCTAGCGGCATCTCAAAGGGCCTGGCTGGAACCGCCGCCTCGCCGCGTCGGAGGATGACGGAGCCTCTCAAGACTTTCACCAAATATGGGCCGGGGCTGGAAATGTCCTGGACCTAGCGCCGCCGGAAATCTCGGATTCTGGCAACTACAGCGTCTCCTCCTTGCAAAATTCTAAATGAGAAAGGGGGCCGGGCCGGCTGCCTGCCGCCGCCAGCTCCTCTACCCCACCCACCCCCGACGGGCGGGCGGGCAACGTGCCTTCTTCCAGCGGGGGGGCATCTGCCAACCCCGAAACCCCTCCCTCTCCGCGCCGCAGCTGCACTGACAGCGTCTGGAGAGAGAGGCGCGGGCAGGGAGCGGACGGTCAGCCTGTCTGCCCGCGCTCCCCTGGACGGCTGCAGCGGGCTCTAATCCAAGACCAAAGTGTGTGCAGCCCCGAAGAGAAGGTAGTTTCACGAAAGCACAACAGAAGTCCACAGCATACAATAGAATGGAATGTTGAATCGAAGGAATATATCATTAGAACTCGAAGTGACTTAAATGTCCAGAGATGCTTGGTGGATTTTTTTGGGGGGAGGGGGGAGATGGGAAGGTTTACAACTGCTCAAGAGCGCTAGGTTGCTTTATCAAAGGCTCTAGTTTCAAACCCACTTACTGTGACCTTGGAGAAGGTCGCTTAGCCTCTCAGAGATCTGTTTCCTCATCTGTAAAATGAGACCAGTGTACTACATAATCTTCTAAGGTCGCTTCCCACTCTAAAGCTGTGCTCCTATATAAAAAAGGTGTACTGTCTCTTGGTATTTTTCTATTATCAATTCCCAATATTGTTTTCACCTGGAATTGATTCTAGGGTTCTTCCTCAATGGTCCTTTTGAGTAGGAAGGGATGGGGATGAGTCACAACTCTTGTTCAATTCTTGGGTTGTGGGAGAGGGTTGAACCGCTCCCAAATAAAAAAGTTGGCTATAAGTGTGAATGCGTGCATATTTGTAAACAAGCATGTACTATAGGCATATGGCCGAAATAGATGCATACCTGGGTATATGTGTGATGCTCTGTGTGTGTGTGTGTGTGTGTGTGTGTGTGTGTGTGTGTGTGTCGGGGGGTGGGGGATAGGGGGTAAGAGTAGGGTGGGGGAGGGGAGGTTATGACTGGGAAAACAAAATTCAGAGTTACTATTACTCTAAGTTGCTACCAGCCACACAAGTGGCCCCTTCTTTTTATCCTTTGTACTCCCCTGGCATCAGTAACGCAAGCACTGTCCCCACAGCTCGCCCCCAAGGCAGGAAGGAGCTGCAGAAGACAAACCCCTTCTCTGTGGCTCACAGCCCAAGGAAACAAGGCTGCCCGTTATTCCTGAAAAGGCACCATATGAAAAGAAAAGAAAAAAAAAAGAAAAAAAGACATCCAGCAGAATTAGCACCCGAAGCAACACTTACCCATAAACATTTGCACATTTCCCCCCAAGTCCGTCAACATGAAATGATCTTCTCTAGTTCTCTTAGAGGTGGAAACGAGAAGGCGACGAGACGTCTGGGGTTTCTGGACCATCCTTCAGACAGGAACGTGTGGAGCTGCGGCTTTTCCTCTCTAAAAGCCTATCCTTCGTTCGCAGTTGCACACAGGACATACTGTATGGTAACACTATGCATACAGGTTAATCGCAGCCCCTCCACTAGCTCCCCCCACCCCCTCATTTTCTCTCCTTGCTTCTCTCCTCCCGCTACTCCCCCTTTTCCCCCTTCTCTACCCCACCCTTGCTTTTTCACGGGCGGCTGGCTGGAAGGGTTTCTAAGTTTCTCCTCTCGGGCAGACTCTAGTCTTCCACCATCCTGTGGGGAACTAAAGCAACAAGCCCACACACCCTGTGTCAGAAACTTTAATCTGATTTTTCAAAGAATCCCTGGTATGGTATTTTTTTTTTGTAGTTCTGTGGTGGAGCAGATCATCCTTCTTTCCCCTCCCTTCCCTCCCCCATCACCAATAAATGAATAGGTTCTATACAACCAATTGGATTCTCCACTCTTATTTTCTTTTAAAGCATGATTGCGTGAAAAACAAGGAATTCCGAAGAATTTCCTGCCCTGGGAACAGAAGTGAAGTCTATATTTAACAACATTTAAAGCTGTCGAGAATGCTTTGTGGTTGGATAACAGAGGCAGAAAAATGTTAAAAATGCAGGCTACTGCTATACCAAATATGGAAATATTGTTACGTCTGGTGTCTGATTCACCATCTGGAAATACTTACAGCCATGAAGTCAAATAGAAAAGACGCCACAACAGAAGCCAGAAACTCTTCTCCCCAGTCTCCATTCTCTCTCCCCTTCCTCCTACCCCACCACCCCTCCTGAGTTCCTTCATTAACTAAAAATTGTTAAAGGAATCAAATTTGAGAAAGCAACATCCTAGCAGAAAGGATGGGTTTGGTTGTGAATGGGAGCAGGGCCTAGACCTTTCTTCATGTATTTGCTTACACTTTAACGATTTGATTTTATTGAATAGAAGCATTTGCCTTTAAAAGCCTTACATCAGGACCTTCTATCACAGCAAACACAGCATAAGGTATGGAGAATGAACACAGTCCTGATGTGGGAAATTCGATTCTTCATTTTCGAGGGAAAAGTGCAGTTTGTTCTAATAGCTTATCCTTGTCTGCTATAATAAAGGTCATGGAAAGTTCAATATTTCCTAGAAGTGTTGGCTTTGACTACCTAGGGGCTCCCTTGCTGAATTGGCTGGTTTATTTATTTATTTTCATGCAGAATAGGCCTAAAAATGAAAAGAATTGTAGTTTCTCCAATAGCATGCATTAAAGGATGTAGATTTAATTATTTGTGCATTGTCCATTAAAATGATGAGATCTGAGGTTGATTTTTACAGTTTTAACTTACCCATAAAATTCACTGAGGGTGTTAGTGATATTCAGTGAGTAGACTGCATTCACAGGGTCTTTAGTCAGAAAGCAGCAGGTAGAATATAACACACTTATAAACCATGTGGGACTATTTTTGTCATGGAAAAATGACACAGCTAGCTAGTACCTTTTAGAACAACATTTTTTTTTATTTCTACATACCGCATTTAAAAATAAGCCTAGACAGTTCAATGCAATTGCCCTGAGAAGGGAAGTTTCCAGCCCAAGGGATCCCAAGGTAAGGCTTTCACAATATTGTCAATTTCAGCTTCAGGGGCAGATTCCCAGGGGGGATTGTCCTTTGCCGCCCCGCCCCCACCCTCCAGACATTCAGCAAAATACAGCTGTGAGTGTAGTCCAAACTGGAATTTTTACAGAACCTGTGAATGTTTGAAATCAAAATAATTTAGAAGTCATCATTTCAGTTCCTGGTTAGCTACTCATCATCTACAACATGGGCTGAAGGAAGGGCTGACACCTACTCTATCTTTGAAATATAGGAAGTAAAAAGCATTCCCCCTGAGAACCTATTGCTTTTCCTCTAGAAACTGCAAATCCAAGCACTGAGCTGGGACAAAAGTAGGAACCTCCAAACATAAACAAGCTTGAGATGGGGGTCGTAGCGGAGAAGAGGAGAGAAGAGCTTTGCTTGGGAAGTTGCCCGACAATGGGAAATGGCTTGTTTTACTTTCATTCATAAATGCCAGTGTTAATCTGCAATAAGCATTCTTGACTCATATACAGTAGGCTAAAGATTTGAGACATGTTCAGTAATGAATATACGCATGGATCAGAAAGACTTCCTCTCCTTCCTAGTCTCCCCCCTCCTTCCTCCTCTCCCCCTCCTCTCGCCACGGCTGAAAAGATACTTTTACTCTGTCTCTCAGTGTAAATAAAACAGTTCGCTGCCTTGCAGGGATGAAAGTTTTAGGAGCCTGCCTATTAAAATAAAAATCAGCAAACAAATATACTTTTGTTCCTCCCTCTCGGGTCCTCCCACCCTCCAACCCCCAACGGGTTCTTCATCTGTTTCCCTGGTCCCCACTGCTCTGGCTATCACTTTCCCCAGTCTACATCACAAACCTCCCCTTTCCCCCCAGCCTGCAGCAAGGAAAATCCTCCCAGATCTAAATGGTTAGTTAAAGCGGAAAAAATGGACTGTTTTCTTGATGGGTCTGGGACAAAAAAGGTGCAAGGAAGCCAGGGGAGGCGCTTGGATGGAGCCCGCGCCAAAGAAACATTCCTGAGATGTTTGAGAATTCTGGAACGCTCAGACAGCGCCTACGTCACTCAGCTGCATACACGCGGCGGCCCTGGGCTCAGGGTATAAAAGGCGCAGTCCTCCGCTCCTCCGCACACTGCAAGAGAATCTCCCCTGAAAGCGTGCTGGGTGACCTCGGCAGCTGCAAGTAGACTGCAGCGACCACTCTGGCTGCGCCTCCGATATCCGAGGAAGAAGTCGCGCCCGCTCCCGGATCGTTAAGCCCTCTCTCCAGAGGCAGATCCAGACCCCAGCACCAGCCTTCAAGTCCGGGCTCAAGAGTTTCTCAGGCTCTGCCCGAAGTTAGCCTCGCGTGTTTCTCTTTTTCTTTTCTTCTTCTTTCTTTCTTTCTTTTTTTTTTTTTTTTTTTTTGCTGCAATAGCACGAGAGCTATTCCTGCGCCTAACAATGAGCACCCAGGCAGCCAGAAGTCTCGCCTTTACTGTCACCTTGTTCCATTTAGCCAGACTGGTAAGTTTTGCAGTCCTCTTAACTGCTTGCTTCCCTCCTCTTCTAGCCCGGTCCCCTACGCTGTCCCCAGTCCCAAACCGCAGCCCTGGGTGGGGAGAGGGGCGAGAGGAAGAGCCTTTTTGTAGTAAGCCTTCCATTATCGAACCTCCTCTGTCCCTGGCAAACCTTGAGACTTTCCCGGGAATGAACTTGGCCACCTTAGAAGCCACTCGGGGCTGGCCGGAACAGTGCGTTAGATCAAAGCCTTGAGATGTCCCTTGCCCGGGGGGTACTTTGCATTCTGCAACCTTTCCTTGTGTTTCTTTTCGGTTTCAGGCTCTCTCCACCTGCCCAGCCTCCTGCCAATGTCCCCTCGAGGTACCTAAATGTGCCCCAGGAGTGGGGCTGGTTCTGGACGGCTGCAGATGCTGCAAAGTCTGTGCTAAACAGCTTAACGAAGACTGCAGTAAACTTCAGCCTTGCGACCACACCAAGGGTCTGGAATGCAACTTCGGCGCCAGTTCCACGGCTCTGAAGGGAATCTGCAGAGGTGAGATGCTTGCGGTTTGGGCCTCCTAAAACAACAACAACAATAACAATAATAATAGCCCCCTGGAGTCCAGAAGTTTGGTCATACTGAGGCCATGTATGGCTATGCTTTGTTGTTGGTAGCTTGGCAGAAAGGCAGATGATTTCAGCAGTCTGGAATGCAATTCAGTATGTCTGGGCCCCGCTAAAAGCCCATACGGAAAAGTGATTCCTGACTAACTTATTGTTCTAGTCTTGGGTCTCCGGGGAATTGTAGGGGAACTTTACCATAAATTGAATTTAACAGTAGAAAATACATAGGAGCTCCAAGCAGTGATTGGGAATGTTAACCCTATCTCTTCTCCCTCCTCTTCTTTTTTGGTCATCTCTGCAGCCCAGTCCGAGGGAAGACCTTGTGAATATAACTCCAGAATATACCAGAACGGTGAAAGTTTTCAACCCAACTGTAAACACCAGTGCACGTGTATCGACGGGGCGGTGGGGTGCATTCCTCTGTGCCCACAAGAACTGGCGCTTCCCAACTTGGGCTGCACCAACCCCCGGCTGGTCAAAGTGGCCGGACAGTGCTGTGAAGAATGGGTATGTGACGACGACGTCGCCAAAGATGCCCTGGATGACATGGACGGTTTCATGGGCAAGGGGCTTGGAATAGGAGCCTCTGAAATTGAACTCACTAGAAACAACGAGTTAATTGCCATCGGAAAAGGAGGCACACCTCTAAAACAACTTCCTGGTAAGAAGCCGCTGAGACTTGTGAAAGAAGTAGTTGAATGAATCCTCTTATAAGTTTTAAACTGTGAGATGCTTAAAAGCTTGCTTCTATGTGCATAGTGGAGCATTGAAAACTTATAATAACTCTCTTCTTCTCTCTTTCCCTTCTCCCCCTCCTCCCCACTCCCATTACAGTTTTTGGATCCGAGCCACGCATCATATATAACCTATTCCATAGCCAGAAATGCATTGTTCAAACAACTTCATGGTCCCACTGCTCGAAGACTTGTGGAACTGGTGTCTCGACCAGAGTAACCAATGACAACCCCCAATGCCGCTTGGTTAAAGAAACCAGAATTTGTGAAGTGCGCCCCTGTGGCCAGACAGCATACAGCACACTCAAGGTCAGTTTCTAACTTAAGAGTATTTGGAAGCCCAGCTTCGTGGAAATTGTTACCAGGCACACGTGCCATGGTTTTTCTTCCCAGAGAAATAATTCCTGGCTTTATTTTTTCCCCCCACCTCTTCTTACAGAAGGGAAAGAAATGCAACAAAACGAGGAAACCCGCCGAGCCTACGAAGTTTACCTTTGCAGGATGCACCAGCCTCAAAAAGTACCGGCCCAAGTACTGCGGCAGCTGCGTGGATGGGAGGTGCTGCACGCCCCAGCAGACCAGGACCGTCAAAGTCCGATTCCGCTGCGAAGACGGGGAGTTGGTCACCAAGAACGTCATGATGATCCAATCTTGCAAATGCGTCCACAACTGCCCACATGCCAGCGAGGGCACTTTCCCATTTTACAGGCTGTTCAATGACATTCACAAATTTAGGGACTAAACGGCCCTTTGGGCTGGAGTGGGAAACTGAGGGGAGGCAGTGTCGGAATTGGAAATACCAAGACACGTGGGGCTGGGGAGGATGGGGAGGGGGAAGGAACCCTATTGTAGAAGTGACGCCTTGCTCATTCTTGAGTCACCTTAAAGGTATTTTTGAAACTTCCGCGTGCACTGCGCAGATGGACACTAAGGCAA